AATATGAAGGATACTTGAGTCTGGTATTTTGCTTTATAGCTTGCAGACTTTTCATATATTTATTTCAAATTAATCTAAGTAAAATAGAAATCAATGACGCTTGTAGTCTGGTGGGCACTGAAAAAGTGATGGTGGAATGGTGGTGTATCTGAGCAAACCTAGGGCATTTGAGAGAAGGGATGGAGACAACTTCTAAAGGTCTGTGCAAATATCCTTGAAAAATAGAAGGGAGAGGAGGAAGAACCACAGATGAGGCAATTGTCAAAGAAGAGGCAGCTGAGCTTGCAGAAAGAATGGGAGCATGGCCAACTTCTCAAAAGGGATCCTCCGTAGTTTCTTGAACTGCATTGTAAAGGCAAGCTGAGAGAGATAATACATTCAAACTTGCAAGATTCTGTTACTGTACTCATGGTTAGTGCTTCTAGTTTGGACTTTGAAAGGGCTGACACAACCTCTTTGACTGCCCTTTTCCTGTGAGAATATTAGTGGAAGTGGGAAAGAAGATTAGAATGGAAGAAGAATGAAAGAAAACTCAGTATTCACACTCGCAACCTTTTACAATCGAATTTCATGTCATATCATTCATTTAAACAACGTTTGAATCTGTGACATCTATTTCTTCCTTTTTTTCCTAATATAGTTCAGAGCTACATTAATAGCTCTGAACTAAATCTTAATTTGTTTTACTACTGCATAGTTTATTGAATAAACAGTAATTACTGATATGATATCAAACACTAAGCCATATATACCATGATTTTTTTTTTCTTCCATTCAATTCTTGGTTACTGCCTGGACAAGTCCCTGCCGTTTTCTTGGCAGTTTTTCAGAAGTGATTTGCCATTGCTTCCTCACTAGGGCTGAGAGAAAGTGACTAGCCCAAGGTCAGCATTATATACCAACCTAATAAATGGCTTCACATTTACATACTATTAAATATAGTGTATGCAAGGGTAAACAATGAAACATAGTCCTCAAAAGCAGAAAAATAGCCACCTTTGTGCTCAGCCAAAATGAAACAACCCATATCCTGGTTTAGCATATTATGTGAAGCAAGCTTGTGTTCATTTTGCTAAGCTTCATATAATATATTTGCACTAGATCTTAGAATTGGCACTTGGTGAATTTCTTGTTGAGAAGAGGACAGATCAGGGAGTTCATGATTCATAACTCAGATACTTTCCCCCTACGTGTTAGTCCTCTCATAATTAAAAAAATAGAAGGATGAGACCTATTAGATGATTTGCAAATTTCTTTAGGAGGTGATCACAGCCTTTGTGCCCACAGTCATAAGGAAAATTGGATGATTAAACCCAAAATATTAAAGAGCTTGAGTGAACCCTGAAGCTGGGAGCATGGCCAATCTGTATTATATCATTAGAGTGAAGTAACTAACTTATTAACATTAGTTTTTATTATTTTTAAATCTTTTCAGGTGCTTATAACATGAAAAAAAAATTAATTACATTGGTCAGGATATAAATTTTTTTGCTGGGCAATACAAACTGAATGTTTTGGGGTCCTACAGATCAAATGTGTTCATTTAAAGCAGGGGTGTCAAACTGCCAGCCCATAGGCCGGTTTCATCATACTGAAGCTGCACCTACCCCATTGCCGGCAATAGAAAAAAAGTCACAATACATCGTGACACGTCACATGACATATCATAAGGTGACCAACCGTCCTCCTTTTGGAAGGACAGTCCTCCTTTTTTGAGTTCTGTCCTCCCTTGAAAAGTGTCCTCCTAAATGTCCTCCTTTTCCATATACTGTCCTCCTTTTGGGAGGACAGTCCTCCTTTTGTGAGTTCTGTCCTCTCTCGAAAATGTCCTCCTAAATGTCCTCTTTTTGACGACTAATCTGCAGGGCTTTGTTTCCTCATAGAATGCTCAGAAGGCGTTCCAGGACCTTTTTTTAATTTTTTTTTCAACTTTTGCATCTACTCCCCCTATTGGCTTTCGAAAGCCAATAGGAATTGCTGCTGAGCACGCCAAAACACCCGGGTGGCAAACTTTGCATGTGCAAGTTGCAGGAACTTGCACCCCTCACTGCTACCCAACTACACGATCTCCTACTTCTTAGTTCCAAAGATAGCTGGAGGAGACTGGAGCGGTAAGTTTCACTTGATCTTCCCTGTTCGGTTTTATGCGGGGATACACAGGGTAGGTGGTGGTGCTGGGGGGTGGCTGGGGGTGGCTGCAGGACCAGAGCCGGCACAGCTGGTGCTTTTCAAGCCGCGGGGCCGGCTCTACAGGGATGGGCAGGGGGGGCGGTGGTGCTGGGGGCGACTGGGGGGGGCGGTGGTGCTGGGGGGTGGCTGGGGGGGCGGCTGCAGGGCCGGAGCCGGCATGGCTGGTGCTTTGCAAGCCGCGGGGCTGGCTCTACGGGGATGGGCAGGGGGGGCAGTGGTGCTGGGGGGCGGCTGCAGGGCCAGAGCTGGCGCGGCTGGTGCTTTGTGAGCCGTAGGGCCGGCTCTCCACGGCAGGGCAGCAGTGCTGGTGGGGCGGCTGTGGGCGGGGGCGCGGCGGGCAGTTGACCTTCCATGGGCTGCACCAGCTGGTGGTCTACGCAGTGCTGACCTGCGCTGCCACCACCTCACCCTGCACATCTACATGGCCACCCTGGAGCGCCAGGCTCACAACACCTGCCTCCGCCGCCCACCCCCGCACAGTCCAACCGTGTAGATTTTTGGACAAGTGAGAAATCGAGATTGAATATTGATACTCTAGCTGCAGCATTTGCCGTAAAATTCAATATGAAGGATATTTCTTGTTCAGATGTTTCCAATATATTGTTAGAAAATGATACATTGACAAAAAATATTCATTCAATGGAAAAGTACTCATTTAAATAATTAATAGGCATGTAAGCATAATTACAATATAAAATGTTATTGTTACAAATGTTTTTTATTATGCATTTATCATATTATAATGTATTCTGTATTATTGTTGCAATAAATACAATGTTTCTTTTATTTACAATATTTTTTTCTTAAATTTATTCGTGTCCTCCTTTTTGTTGTAAAAAAGTTGGTCACCTTACATATCAAGTTTGACACCTGTGATTTAAAGCATGGATGCATAACTAATGCATCCACTTCAGCTGCTACTGATTTCCAGGTATTGAATTAAAAATGAACTTAGTGGCTTAAAAACTAGAAAAAGGGAAAGAAATAGGAAAGAATATGAGGAAATAGACTTTTTGGGTGTGATGTTTTTTCTCTGGATGAACCCACATTCTTCTTGTCTATTATTTAGATTTGCTTATTTAAGCCCTGATATTCATAGCATTTGATGATAGGGCATTTTCTATTGGCCTTGGAGCAGTTCCTGTTCTAATCAGTTCTCTGGAAGGTCATGTTGTCCAGTCATGTTTATTAAGGAGGTTTGGACTTTGCCATATCCTTCTGTATCTTGCTCTCTTTAAGTTTTAACTAACATTGTTCAGTGAACATTGAGTGACACGTTGAGATCAATCAAGAAAATTCATCTCTGGTTTAGAATCATATCCACAAAATATTGCAAGCAATTTATATAGTTGAAAAAAGCTGTGTCAACTTGTTTTTAGTTATCACTTAGAAAATGTTTTAAAGGATTGGGATATTTGTTTAAGATCAGGCAGCTAATCAGAGGACAAATGGCTTAAAAGTAAGAATGAACATTCCTGCATAGTTAGGACTCTGTTGGGGCTTATTTTTCTTTATCTGATTATGATGCCATTGTGTAAATATCAGTTTGTGATATAATCCTATCAGAGTTAAACACTGGTAAGTATCAGTGATTTCCAGAAGTTAGATTATGCATTCTTCCCACAAAAATTGCTAAACACAGGGTGTTTTGTCCAAAGTTATTATCTTCAAATGCAAATAAGTGGTTAGAATTTAAAATAAATCCAAACATATTCAAAACATCAAGCAAGTATATGTTAATATGTTACTTGCATAATTTATGGGAACAACAGTCAGTTATGGATAAAAACCTATTTGAAAATACACTGAAAGAGTATATAAAAGACAGACAAGAAAAGCTGGATGGACAACCACTCATATCTAAGATTGATTTGAAAATAGTATCACAGCAGGAGAAGCTGTGGTTTTTTTTTATAAAAACTACATTTTTCTCAAAGCTATTTTGAAAAACCCAGTTAAACTTTGAAATATATGTTAAGTACATTTTCAGGTATTTGGTGAGTATAAATGTTTGGATTGGCAGAAAATTGTGTATTTATCACTGAAGCACATTTTTAATCCTCTTTCAGGCATTGGTAATAAATGTAGTTTTATTATGAATATATCAACATTGGTACCATTTCTCTCCTTCAATTATCAAGAGTCACTTAGGATTAATTAGGTACTCTAGCATATAGTATAGAGACATCATGAAAAGAACTATAGGGCAAACTTTTATTTGTTTTCCTTCACTGTAGATTTTATTATTTTTTATTAGTTTAGAATAAGGGCCAGCTATATCTCTAAATACATTTTTTAATATGTAACTAAAGAAAGGTGTTCAGAGTTAGAATACAAAATAGGAATATAATTTCTGTCAGATTCTAAACCTGCTATTTCAGTGCTTTTGATATGCATGCTTTTAATTACACTGGTATCTTTTAATTATTTCTCAGATGTGCATCTAGGCTCATAGTAAAACGCTGAATAATGCTCATCATACAGTTTATACAACAAAAGAGAAAAGATTAATCCTTCAAAACTTTCAAAAATTACCTGGCAGTGTATCAAAATAATTGTTCCTTTCTTTCTCCCATTCAATGATCAAATTATATATTCAGTAACAAAATATACAAGGACACATTTGATCTTGTAAATGATAGCGGACTCTTCTTTCTGAAGCAAAATGACAAAACTGGCCATAAATATCAAAATATATTCTGTGAGAGCAAGAGAAGTTAGTGCTTTGTTAAATATAAACAGCTAAGAAAGAATTAAATGCATCTGTTTCAGTTCATAAAAGGCAAAACTCTCCCATTTTATTATTCAAGGTGTTCCTCATTTCACTGTTGAGCCAAAAGACAAGTCAGTTATCCCTGGTGCGCCTTTCCAGATGGCTTGTGCTGCAGTAGGACCACCTGAGCCAGTGACAATTGTCTGGTGGATGGGTGATTCCAGGCTTGGACATCCAGACATCTCTCCCTCCACTCTAAATGTGTCAGGTAAGACTTCTTCCTTTGATAAATAAAACTATCCATACAGGAGTAGGATGGCTAATGGGGCAAAGGTATAAACAACAATAATACCCAGTTTCTGGCCCAATGTAAGATTTTGTGTCAGATATGTTAAAAAGAGGGAAAACAACAACAACTCACCAAAGGCTACAACAGTCTCTAAAATTTCTGAGATAATTCAAAAACAAATATACATTTCTCTCTCCCTACATCCCAGTATTTTTTGGCAAGATTTTCCTCCCAAAATTGTTTATTGTTTGTAATAGCTTGTATAAATGCTTCTGTTTTCTACAAAATATCAAAAGTCCACTATGTGCATCAGCTTGTAGTAGGTGAAAGAAAACATGATTGAAGTTAACAATATTGGGGAAATGGCCCACACTGAAAAATGATGTGCAGTTGATGGAACCTTGTTAAAATCCTTGGATTTCTTTATTACTTTTAATTTTCAAAAAAATAATACCACAAAAGTAAATACTATGGAGATTAAGCAATTACCACCTAGAACTTTGAGATCTTCAAGACAAATTTAAAGATATATCTGTAGTGAATATTTTTCCTATGTTTAGGAGCAAATAAAAGACATTCTAGATTTAAAACAAAATAGGAGACCTGCAAAGGAGAATTTCCTGTTGATATTTATAGTATATTAAAACTGAAAGGAAGTATTGCTTCCTCAAACAGATATATATATATATATGTGCTTGGAAAGCCCTTAAATAAGCCCTAACATGCCTTGTTTCATTGCCTGTTCTACACAAACACTAAGGAGGAAGTGAAAGGATCAGATGAATCTACTAAGTTCTTATAAAAAGTTATAGTTCCTTAGGCATACAAGAACAAAGGCATATGAGGAAGGGAGAAAAGCCTGGCATCAGCAGGGAAGAGCACAGAAATGCTAAAAGAAAGTAATAATAGACCAGGAAGACAGTGGGGTGGGAAGAGGCAATGCTTTCAGTGATTACACTGATTTATATTAAAAAGTTGATTACCTTTTCAGGGCATAGTCTGGCTTTTCTGTTTAAATCTTCCTATACCTGGAAGATATTGGGGACACGCTAGGTGTTGTCTGAAAGAGCAACAAGAATATTTTCCTTTTTTAATCGATGTAAAATATGCAACTTTGAGGTTTTGTAAGAAGTTTTTAAAACTTGTTGACATCTCCTCATTCATCTTTTGATCTACTCCTGCTTGTTAACTTCAGTTTTTGTAAAAGTAATATAAAGATTGCTCCAGACAAGTTTTGACAGCTCACCATACTTTCGTGAAAGGCAGCCTCAGCTGCAGTTCAGACTTAAGCATATTTTGAAATGAGTACTATAAGACAAGCTGAAAATGAAATTAAAAACTCCAGGGAGCAGTTTCCACAGATGTATTTTCCTCAAAGCTCCCCACTTCCAGTTTTCTAAGTAATGGAAACTTAGTGGTATCAATTGTGTTTCTTTCACAAGCAGTACCACAAATAATTACAAAAACAAAATGAAAAATATGTGCAGTGGGGCAAATTGGACATTGAAAAGTAAGCTTATAAACTCATTCAAAATCTCATTGCTCCTCTAAGTCTTCTGCACGTAGCTTAAAAATACATTTCCCCAATCACAACAGTTCTGTGCTTCCAACCAGCATGATGTCAACAAAGCTGCCGGGTAGCAGAGTCAATGCTTTTGCCTGAGGGAGATTGCTCATTAAGCTGCAGTCAGAGGCCTTGCTTCTTATCATTGGGACAAAATAAACATTCCAAGAAACATTCCCTTTTCTGACTGTCTCGGCTTCCATCCCATTGTTTTATCATAAATAATTGTAGGACCGGTAAAGCTAATTGTTAATTATCAGAACCTCCCATTTGGATAACCTTTTTATTGAAGATTGGGGCTAATGGTATTGGGTTCACTGAACTTAGAACTTCCCAAGTTCTAGATTCAGTAGGCATCCCATGTTCTTGGTGATCTTTACTGTGGGAGCTGGTAATTTGTTCACATACAATACCAAGTTATTTTTTGGTTTTCCAAATTTAACTATTGGAATTTGTAAATCATGGTTAATGATTAAGATGTAGGGGGGGGAGTTATGTAAGGGACTGGTTGTTTCTATCTGTCCCACCTAGTCTGACAGGAGGGGCACACCCTGGATCCCCTCAACTAAAAAATGCCATCTGTTGGGACATTGGAAGCAGGCTTTTTCTACAGCAGCCCCTGCCCTCTGGAACACCATACTCTTTGTGGTTGAATTGATCCTGACCCTGCTGGCCTTTCTCAAAGCACTGACGACCCAGATACAGTATGCTTCAGGGTTTGGGGATTAGATGGTCTGTGAGATGCGATGTTCTTGTGCTATTAAGTTCTTATGGGGTTTGTTCTCAACCCTCGTTGGTATTTTTTTAATATCTTGTTGATTCTGTTTTTGCATTGTTTTAATGTTTTTATTCTGCATCTTGCAACTGCAGTTTTAAATTGATTTATAATACATACATACATACATGCACACATATATACATACAGTATATACAGTATATACATGTACAGGACTACCTGTAAACTACCTAGAAGTTCTACCAACCTATGATATGGAGGGATCATTTTACAGAATTTTCGTACTACCAGGAAGCTTGTTTATGGAATCGATGAAACTTCCTTTAAATAAGTTACAGATTGCTCTTTAAGCATGATTACCTGGAGTTTTACAAGCTCAAAATGAAGTGGAAATTCCATTTTGATTGGAAGGCATGGTTTATTTTGTTTTTCAATCATGCTCCTAATTTGACCTATTCTGGGTTAAAAAAAAAAAAACTTCCTTCACATGTGCATGCAATATTTTGCTCTCTAGATAAAGCAATAGCACTTAGACTTATATACCGTGTCATAGTTCTTTGCAGACCTCTGTAAGCAATTTACAGAGTCAGCATATTGCCCCCAACAATCTGGGTTTTTTTACCAACTTCGGAAGGATGGAAGGCTTGAGTCAACCTTGAGCTGGTGAGGATCGAACCCCTGGCAGTCAGCAGAGTTAGCCTACATTCTAACCACTGCCCACCAGGGCTCAATAAAATTCAGCCCAAAATGTAGGTAAAAACGCAACTCTGAAAGAAGTTTGCCTTTCTTCCCAGGCTGTATAGAAAATGGCTCTGAAGAGCTAGTGTGCTGTTTCTAGTTGAAAGCTTTTCCTTCTGCAGCTTTTATTTCTATAATCTAATAGTATAGCCAACATATACTCCCAGATACATAGTCATCGTTCATGTGCACATTTTGTGAAACTAAATTTGCAAAATTTAGAAAAGAAACAGTAATTTGTTAAACTATGTTTGTGATCCCTTTCCTGGAAACTGTTGTAAGTTTGCCTTTGAAATAGATTGTTCACTTCACCAAGGAAATGTGCTTTCTCCATCATGCCCCCTACATCTGGAATAGCCTCCTCTCCCTTCCCCCAGTACAGTAACTTCCCTTTGGGGATTCTAGAAAGCTGTTAAAACCTAGCTTTGGCTCCAGGCCTGGAATTCATGTATTGGTGTAATTCGGGAGGGGGCGGAGGGCTGTTGTGATTTGTGTTCCTTTTAAGATTATTTTAGTCCAGTCTGTGTAGTTTTATGTTTTAATTGTTTTATTGGGATTTTTTGGTTTTGTATGCCAGCCAGTCTCCTTTGGAATTGAGTGACTATAACAAATAAATAAATAATAAATAATACCGACGTGTACACAAAACACCTCTTGACCCACATAATTTTTGCTCTGCTTTCAGTTCAGTCTTTTGAGTTGCATAGGTAAAATCTGAGCGATGTGTGAAACCTGTGAAATTCTACTTACAGGTTATTAAATATTTAGATTGTTTTCTAGGGTTTTTTTTTCAGTATTCTTTTTTCTTGACCAATTTCTAGGTATTAATCAAAGCACAGTTTTCTCCTGTGAAGCCCATAACATAAAGGGATTATCTTCATCTCGGACGGCCATTGTACGGATTAAAGGTGAGAAATCGGTTCCTATCCTTCCACAGATGGAAACATAGAAAAGAGACGCACTCCCTCACAGGAAAAGGGAAAAAGTAATGTAAACCAGAGCTCCCCAACCTTTTTGGCTTGGTGGCCCGGAGGGAAAGGGAGGAGTAGGGAAATGTGTGTGCGTGCATGTGCGCAAACAGGCGCATGCACAGCAGCACTGCTAGCATCTGCGTGCATGCGCAAGTGGGCTGTGTGCACCTGCAGTGGTGCTGGTGGCAGCACGCGCCTGCCACTAGCACCTGTGCACATGCGCAAATGGCTGCTAGCATGTGTGGCATCACTAGCACTTGCCAGCCATTCCTGCAGTCCAGTGGCCATCAGGCCGCAGACCAGTACTGGGCCGCAGACCACAGGTTGGAGACCTCTGATCTAAACTACTAAAAAAACAATAGTTTGTTTTCCTCCACCTTTTAAAACTGCTACACACAACTCTCACACGTGACTTCTTAGCTGACTCTTTATGCTCTCAACAGATTAAATAAAATTCAGAAAAATTATTTGCTATTTTTTTATGCAGGCTCATCCCTTTAGCAGGAAAATTTGCTGATAAAAATATACCACCAGCAGCTCAAGAAAGGAATGAGATACAAGGGAACAAACCTTGTTTTAGCTTAGGAAGTTTAGGGCTAGGGCATCAAAGGTCTTTCTAGAAGGAAAAGGGTGCTGTAACTATAGACATCAGGTATAAAAATGTAAGATGATGGAATATGAGTCAGGATGTCACAGCACAAACTCCAGTCTTTTGTTCTGTGGTTGGTGTCACAACAGTGCAATGCATGCTTCATCATTAGTCTCTCCTATGGATGCCTGTGATCATGACATTGTCTACAATGTGTAAATGAGAACAGCATCCTTTTTGGCAGACATACTGTAGATTTGGTGCTTTGGCAGCCAAAATGTCTCCCATCATCCTTTTGCTCAAATGAACTGGCTTTTCATGAGCTATTGAAAGCCGAAGGATGCGAGCTACTGCTTGGAACAATTACATTTCAGGAAAATATTGCTTTTATGTCTTTCTATACTTCGCAGCACTAAACTTTCATTTAAAGTATTAACAAGGTTTTGCTTCTAAAGTAAGTAATTCTTTTTCTCCTCCCAGTTTGTTCTCTTATTTAACAAGAAACTAAATGTGTAGGCTAAGAATAATTACTACTTTTGTAGGGCAGGGAAATGTAACTGGGGCTTGGTTAACTGCATTCCTTGTTATGCAAAATAGAATATATAAGAATATATTGTTAGGAATGAGTCTTATTGAAGTTTTTAATGAACTGAATACAGCTAAACTTAGAAGAAAAAAGGTCCAGAAGGTGCAGAAAAAAAAGAAAACAAAAAGGCACGAATAAAGATGCTTCCAAACTTCATCTCATTGTCCATAAGCTGATTTTATTAACTTTTCATCCTTTTTTAATGTTACATATAAAAATCTGTTCTCTCCATAACCTAACTTTTATCGATATGCAATCCTGAAATCATCTTTTTATTCTCAGTTTAGCAAAAAGTTCATTAGAAGTCAACAGAAATACCAAACAAATAGCTTATCCCTGGTCAAATAGTCCAACTTTATATTCCTTCTTTTTGCTCTACTCGGTTTAAATTGACCTTCAAATCATCCCTACAGCAACCTACTTTGTAAATCCCAAAAAAAGACATTGTCCAAAATTTCTTATTGCATCTGCCCCATGTCCAGATCCTGATTTGTCTTTTGTATTCTCATATTGGCCATCTCAATTTTTTTGTCTTCCATGTTTTCAAACTTTATATTGCCTATGCAAGTTTTTAAAAAGGTTTTTCTCATCATCTTTCAAAAGTTTATCATTGAAATATATGTTTCTCCTGGGATCAATTATTAATATTTCAATCTATGTTTTTTAAAAAACTCTTTAAAATAAGAAAAAAGATCTAGCCTGCTTATTTATTTATTTATTTATTTATAAAATTTATATGCCGCCCAATCCCTAGGGACTCAGGGCAGCGTACAAAATTAAAACAATAAATGTAACAATAAAAATGAGTGCATTCATACAGCATGTCCCAATTGTATCCCGGCCCCCCCGGGGACATCAACCCCAGGCCTGCCGGAACAGGAGAGTTTTAATGGCTTTCTTGAAGGCCGGCAAGGTGGGAGTAGTTCGAATCTCAGGGGGAAGTTGATTCCACCACGTCGGAGCCACCACAGAAAAGGCCCTTCCCCGAGGGCCCGCCAGCCGACATTGTCTGGCCGACGGGACCTGAAGGAGGCCCAATCTGTGGGACCTCACCGGTCTCTGGGAACTGTGCGGCAGTATGCGGTCCTGTAAGTAACCTGGCCCTATGCCATGAAGGGCTTTAAAGGTGATAACCAACACCTTGAATTGCATCCGGAGACCCACAGGAAGCCAGTGCAGCTCACGGAGGATAGGTGACACGTGGGTGTACCTTGGTGCACCCACAATCGCTCTCGCGGCTGCATTCTGAACCAACTGCAGCCTCCGAACGCTCTTCAAGGGTAGCCCCATGTAGAGCGCATTACAGTAATCCAGTCTTGAGGTGACAAGGGCATGAGTAACCATGAGTAGAGCCTCCCGGTCCAAATAAGGCCGCAACTGGTGCACCAGGCGAACCTGGGCAAAGGTTCCCCTGGCCACAGCCGATAGATGTTGTTCCAAATTTAGCTGTGAGTCCAGGAGGACACCCAAGCCTGCACTGAGGGAGGTAAATTTACCCCCCCCCCAGGACTAATGATGGACCATCAGAATGACCCTTGGGGGGCAAGACCCAGAGCCACTGGGTCTTGTCAGGGTTGAGTCTAAGCCTTTTACAGTTTACCCATTTTAACTCTTTTCTGCCTAATTCTTTAGTTCCATCTAGTGTTCATTGGCAACCTTCATCAAACTTCAATTCCTAATATGGGTTTAGTTCTGTTTTAGTCATTTCCCACAAGTATATTATTTAATAATACACTTGTTTTTCAAATCTTACAGATAAAATAACCAATAATGCAAATATCTCTAGTCTCCCTAACAGTTTAAAACTTTTTAAAATCAAAACCTCTTTTTGGCTTTTTGCCAATTTTATATTACTTTAAATCCTTATGACTGTTTCAGATTTCTTAAATCCAAAGAAAATGATAAAACTCACCAGGTATCACATTAAACTCACCATTTTGAAGGCCTCTAATTTCCTTATAGTGGTTAACATTTCCAAATATGATTTAAAAATGAGTAACTGCCTTAGTGTCCTTAAAGGCTCTGCCACCACTGGGAGCTAAGATGTTGTCTTCCTTGGCACAAAGCACATAAACCTGTGGGAGATCATTGTTTGAGGGGTCTTTGGTGCTCTCTGAGCTTGGTTGTTTTCTAGCAGATATTTTATTTTCCAAACTAGGTAACATCATGTTACCTAGTTTGGGTAATGAAATGTCTGCAAGAAATTAAACAAGCTAAGAGAGCACCAAGGACCCCTTATATCAACCCTGAGCTACAAATATTCTCCTTTATTAGATCATTGTTTTTTGGTCTCCATATGAGGAGCTGCCATTCAATAAACTCCTGGCCGATCTCCTGATCTCCCCTTTTCCAGAGAGATTTGAAGAACTGGTCTGTCACTTGTCTTTCATTCTTCACAGCGGGTTTCATCTCTACTCATTTGTGGATTTCAATCAGCCATGACTCAAACCAGGAGCCAAAAGAGTGGATTCTTTCCCAAAGGATCATGTTTGAAAACCATAGCTATCTTGTACAGACCTTGATCCATGATGGGGAATGTAATGTCCAGTGAAGGAATATGTCAAGGAATATGATTGCTTCAGTATTTTTTTTACAAGAATACACAACCATTTTAAATTGGTGAACACATTTAGAATCTAGAGAGCATGTTCTGGCTACTCGACAAAATGACCATTGTAACCTTGCTTAATCATGAAATGACTGTTGTGGGAGAAGCCGGTCACAAAGCAGTCTTTTATGTAGTCATCCACTATTTTTATATGGGTGATGCTGAAAGCTGGCATTTTGATTTATAGTGCATCACCTTCAGATAGATAGATAGATAGATAGATAGATAGATAGATAGATAGATAGATAGACAGACAGACAGACAGACAGACAGACAGACAGACAGACAGACAGACAGGAAGCTGGAGGTACCATAGATATTACATTGTTTTTACAAGACTGTTTTGAGTGCACAGATTGGGGCATATTTAAGGAAGCAGCTATTGATAACTGGAAAAACAAAGAGATCATTGTTGATTTCAGAAAAGGCAGGCACAGCCACACTTCTCTGTGCATTAATGAGTCACCTGTGAAGATGGTTACTAGCATCAAATTCCTGGGTGTGCAGCTAATGAGTAGGCTGATTTGGTCACTCAACAGTGAGAAACTGGTGAAGCGGGCACAGCAACACCTGCATTTTCTGCGTCACATGAGAAAAGCACATCTTCCTTCCCCTGTCCTGACCACTTTCTACAGGGGGACGATCGAGAGCATCCTGTCATACAGCATCACAGTCTGGTTTGGAAGCATCACTGCTTCACAAAGTGGTGAGAATGGCCGAAAAGATCATTGGCAGTTCCCTCCCTCCCATCCAGGACATAGCACAGAAGCATTGCTTGAACAGGGTCCGTAAGATTATCTGGTACACTACACATCCTCTTCACGACCTGTTTTCCTTGTTACCTTCTGGGAAGAGGCTTTGTGGTATCCGTAGCAGAACATCCAGACTCAGCCAGAGTTTCATTCCATACAGCATTAACCTTGTGAACTCTCAAGCTTCCTCTTTCCGTTATATATCCAAGATGGACAGTATTTAATATTTATTTGCTATGTATATGTAGGGGTATGGGTCTATACATATGTTGTTCATAGTATGTTTAGGTGTGTGTCATGTATGTGTTTCACTTTGCAAGTGGGCAACTAAATTTCATTTTTGATGTATGCCGTTGTGCCCACAGTAAAAAAATGACAATAAAGGTTATCTTATCTTTTCTAAATTTGTAGCTGGAATAAATGTTGCCAAATATAAAGTATGGAATACAGATAGCCCTTGCTTAGCAACTGGTCATGACCATTCCCAGTTCCAACGATGGTGAAAAAGTAACTTTGAAACTAACACCCAGATTTATGACCTTCCAGGTCTATAAAGCAAAACAAAGCTGAAATAAGATCTTAAGTACAGTCACGACTTTGTTTAATGACTGAGTTGTTCTCCCAGTTATGATTGCTAAATGAGGACATCTGTTGGTAGAAAGAGGTACTATCATTTATTGTGGGCCAGTCTAGTCAGGTTCTTTCAGATCAGCAGTTCTCAACCTATGGGTCGCGACCCCATTTGGGGTCGAACGACCATTTTACGGGGGTTGCCAAACAACGCGGTCCGCCATTTCCCCCCCTCAGGGGGCGCCGCCGCACATGTGCACCGCGCATGGGGGCGGCACCGCGCACACGCGCCGCGCATGGGGGCGGCACCGCGCATGCGTGTCGCGTCCGTGTGACGGGGGTCACCATCACACAAACGTTGAGAAACGCTGTTTCAGATCAAGTGGGGTTGATATATGTGAAATATCTTCACGAAAAGCATTTCTAGTAGTCATTGCCATCAATCACCCAACTCTTAAACAGGTAGCTCTTATACAAGTCTCCTAAAGCAGGAGTCCTCAACCTTGGCAACTTTAAGACTTGTGGATTTCAAGTCTCAGGATTCTTCAGCCAGCAAAGCTGGCTGAGGAATTCTGGGGACTGAGGAATTCTGGGAGTGAAGTCCACAAGTCTTAAAGTTGCCAAGGTTGAGGACCCCTGGCCTAAAGAATGTTCGAAATTCCAGCAGGCCTCCCAAAAATTACTTATAACTCTTCCTCACTGCAACACACCCATACACCTTCCTGGGTGTGTGTGTCACATGTCCTGCACTTGGCACCTGGCTTGCATTTACAGTGTCCTGGGGTTATGTGACTACGATTTGCAACTTCTTTCTGGTTTCTGCCATTTTTTTGCCAGAAATTGACAAAAACCACCTATTTGGGAGAATGGATTTGCTTAACAACCACATGGTTCATTTAACTACTGCAATGACTCGCTTTTTGACCATCGTAAATATAGTCATAAAATATACTCAAGACAGGTGGTGACCTGCTTAGCAACTACAATGATTTGTGACCAAAATTCCTAGTTCAATTGAGGTTGTTAAGTGAGGACTACTTGTAGTGATTTTCCATCTTGCATTATTGCTGATATGTTACACTTTTTGTTAAGGCCAAGTTGGAAATCAAATACAGAACTGATGGGTTGAAAAGGGAGGTGTAGAGTGACACTAAGAAAGAAAATACTGAAGTTCACCCATAGCTCAGTAATTTGTTTAGGTTTTCTCGGTTTAGAATTATCTGTGAACCAACCCATTACTGCTTAATGCTGTGCCAACCGAAGGGTATATGATTCCCCCTGGGCCACCTTCCGCCTGTGCAAAGCTTTACATTTATAGAACGATTTGGAAGGAGGGATGTTTGGTGCTGTAAGCCAGTGCTGACCTGAACAGGCTTACTGTTATATTGGGATGGGCATTGTCTTCTAGGTCAAAAGCTGGAATTCAGCTTCTCAACCTGGCCAGGTATTAAAAGTCTTATAGTGAAATAATGGCATAAGCTGAGAAGATGGGCCTCAAAGAAATGAGCAATTTCCTGCTCAGCTCTGGAGATAGGTGGGCATCAGAGTGAGAAAGAGAGCATTTTTCCTCACAGAGGTAGTATGATTCCAAATCTCTAAAACTGCTGCTGAAAATCAATAATTTTACTGCTGAATTTGATGAAACGACATAAGATAACCTATATATATATATATATATATATATATATATATATATATATATATATATATATATATATATACGTTTTCTGAGGTTTTCGCGGGTATTTGTATATAGGTCTTTGGTTGTTCGGGTTTTCTCCCGCGTAAAATTGGAAGTGTCTTGGCAACGTTTCGACGAAGTCCCATTCGTCATCTTCAGGCTGGTGTTTTCAGCTTCGTGCTTTGAGCAGCAATGTGTGGTCTTAGCTGTTTCTTCCTTTTAACTGCCAGTGGGGGTATGAACTGATTGGGTGGGAGCTTGGCTGTGTTCTGATTGGGTGGAGGTGTGTTCTGAATGGTTAGGGGCTTGGCTGTGCTCTGATTGGCTGGGGGAGTGTTCTGTTTGGTTGTGCTCAGGTTAGTCTGAGTTGCAGAGGGGTTTAAGATTTTGGGGTTAGGGAGTCGTTTGTCAATAAGGGCGGGTTTCCAAATGGCTGGTAGGCGGGAGGTATCATCTCGCTTGTTCATGCTGTGTGGGCGTTTTTCTATCTCGATGGCTTCTCTGATTATTCTGTTATTAAAATGTTCACTTTTGGCAATGGTTCTGGTATTTTTAAAGTCAATTTCATGTCCTGTGGCTTTAAGGTGTTGGACCAGGGAAGATGTTGGTTCCTCTTTTTTGACTGAGTTCTTATGTTCTTCAATGCGTGCACTTATTCTTCTGTTGGTTTGTCCGATGTATGTGGTGGGACAAGTGGTGCATGGGATTTCGTATACTCCTTGATTTTCTAATTCAATTTTATCTTTGGGGTTTCTAAGGATGGTGGATATTTTTCTGTTTGTGCAGAATGCTGTTTTGATGTTGTGTTTATGAAGGATCTTACTGATTCTGTCTGTGGTGCCTTTTATGTATGGGAGGAGGGCTTTGCCGTTTTCTTGTTCTTTGTCTTGGATTTTGGTGGGGGTTTCTTTTTGGATTAGGTTTGTAATCTTATTTCTATGGAATCCATTGGATGTTAGTACATTGGTGAGAGTGTGTAGTTCGGGTTTTAGGTGTTGTTCGTCAGCTAAGCGTTTTGTTCTGGAGATGAGTGTCTTGGCTACAGAGTTGATCTGTGCTGGGTGGTGGTGTGAGAGAGCGTGCAGATAGCGGTTTGTGTGTGTTTTCTTCTGGTAGATGGTGTGTCCTAGGGAGCCATTGGATTTCTTGTAGACTAAGACATCCAGGAAGGGAAGTTGGTTGTTAGTTTCTGTTTCCATGGTGAACTGTATTTTGGGGTGTAGGCTGTTGAGGTGTGTGAGGAAGTTGTCCAGTTTTTCTTTCCCATGTGGCCAGATTATGAAGGTGTCGTCTACATATCTGAGCCAGAGTTTGGGTTTGTGATCCGATTTTTCTAGAGCTTGGGTTTCAAAGTGTTCCATGTAGAGGTTGGCAATGACAGGTGAGAGGGGTGATCCCATGGGTGCTCCTTCTGTTTGTTTGTATTTTTGTCCATTATAGATGAAGTATGTGTTGGATAGGCAGTGGTTGGTCAGATCTAAGATGTGTTTGGGGGGGTTATATTTGTTTTGAATAGCTGTCAAGGCTTCTTTGATAGGCACTTGGGTGAAGAGGGATATGACATCGAAGCTCACGAGTAGGTCGCTGGGCTGTAAGTTTTGTTTCTTTATGATCTCTATAAACTGGAATGAGTTTTTTACGTGTGAGGTGATGGATTCTGCATAGGGCTGTAGTTGTTTGGCGAGAAATTTGGCTAGGTTTTGTAGAGGTGAGCCTATGGAGCTGACTATAGGTCTGAGTGGGGTTCCTTCTTTGTGTATCTTGGGGAGACCATAGAGTTTAGGGCATCTGGATGATTTCTCTCTGGGAATGATTCTTTGCTGGATCTCTTCGCTAATGGGGGAGGCTTTTATCTTGGTTCTGGTGGTTTTTTCCAGGTAGGTGGTGGGATCTGTATTTAGGGGTTTGTATGTGGAGTCTTGGAGTAGGTTGGTTAATTTGGTTTGGTAGTCAGATGTGTTCATAACCACCGTGGCGTTGCCCTTGTCTGCTGGTAGGATTATTATGCTGGTGTCTTCTTTCAGGTTACGTAGTGCTGTCTGTTCCTCTTTGGGTAAGTTGCTTTTGGGTGGCTTGCTGGTGCAGAGGATGTTGGTGATTTTGAGTCTGATTTTGTTAGCGTCATCGGGGTTGATTTTGGTCAGGCTGGTTTCAACTCCACATATAATGGTTTCAGTGGGGATGTGTTTGGGAGCGACTGCAAAGTTGAATCCTTTGGAAAGGACATTGGTTTCGGCTTTGGTGAGGATCCTATCTGAGATGTTATGCACTGTTTGTTTCATGTGTGGCTGTGAGGGAGGAGGGTTTGTTTCTGGCGTTCTTGTAGTCTTCGGAGTTTGTTTGGGGTGTAGAAGAATAAGTGCACGCATTGAAGAACATAAGAACTCAGTCAAAAAAGAGGAACCAACATCTTCCCTGGTCCAACACCTTAAAGCCACAGGACATGAAATTGACTTTAAAAATACCAGAACCATTGCCAAAAGTGAACATTTTAATAACAGAATAATCAGAGAAGCCATCGAGATAG